CTGCTTGTTTATGGGTGCACATGCACTTGTGCACAGGTACACACTCACTTGGACACTGAGGATTCACCCACTGGTGCTATAAAGGGTTTTCTCCACTCTAGGGTCCCCACTGCCCCCCAGCCATGGACTTGAGGACCTCCTTTCCCCCTGCATGGGCTGGGGGGGAGGTGTGTAGGGGGCAGACTGGTGTGACAGGGCTTGATAACCCCTTCTCCCTCCCAGCTGAAGACCCCTGTGGGCAGGGGCCGAGCCTTCCTGCGGTACTGCCTGGTGCATCGGCAGCTGGCAGAGTCCCTGCAGCTCTGCCTCCTTGACCCCGAGAGCCTCCGGTGAGAGCAGGGGCACAGTGAGGGTGGGGGACATGGCCGAGATGGGCAGTGCCCTGCAGCACCTGGTCAGTAAGGGTGCTGCGGGCATATGTGCCCACCCAGGGCATAGAGGGGTGCCTGAGCCTGTTTTGTGGTTGCAGCGAGTGGTACTACGCCCGCAGCCCTTTCCTGAGCCCCCAACTCCGGGCGGAGATCCTGGGCAGCCTCTATGAACTGGACTGTGTCACCTTCCACCTGGCCCTGCACAGGGACGACCTGGACACCGCCTGGCCCATGTTCTCTGAGTGAGCCTGGGGACACCGGGACACGGGGGCATTGGTGGCACCAGCAGTGTCAGGGGCATCAGAGGTACCTGAGGTTCAACATTGCAGAGCAGCATATGGGCATTGTCCAACTTCCCTGGAGCCCACGTGGCACCCCAGAGGTGCCAGCCCTCCATACATGGCCCCAGGAGGGCACAGATACCGGCACCAGCACACACACCATGCCTGTGCCTGCAAACATGCCACACACATGTGTACACACACACAGAACCATCCTCTGCCAAGTACACCCCCAGGCACAGGTCTGCTGCAACACTGTGACACTGTGACATCTGACACACGGGGGCACATGTGTGTGCTTGCACACCCTTGCCCTCCGGGCAAGCTTGCAGAGGGACACCCATGAATGCAGCTGTTCCAGCACACTCACAGCTGTTCTGTTGCTCGCACACTTGTGTGCACGCACTGCCACAAGCATACATGCAGCCCCAATGCCCCCCTGCAATCACCACAGGGGTCTCTGGGTGCCACCCATTCTGTGGGTTCTCAGGCTGGTGGCACCAGCATCCCTGGTCCCCTGCCACTAGGTGCCACCTGGTGTCACCAGCCCTGCTGCCCTTTACATCCCCGAAGGTTGGCTGTGCACAGGGAGCTCAGAGGGAGGATGGCAGTACCGTGCTCACCTTGGGGGTGACCTGGTGACCCCGAGCCCTGTGTCCCCTCTAGGTCTCTGGTACGGCCCAGCTCGATGACCAGGAGCAGCCCAGCAAAGACAGCTCCGCAGACAGACAACACCAGCACTGGGGCACACAGATGGCCCGATCGCATCGTCCATCCCATCGTGGCACCCTGTGGGACACCAGCTCACCCATGTCCACACACCTTGTCTGCCCTGCAGGCAGGGGATGTAGAGGTGGAGGACATGGAGATGGAAAACACGGAGATGAAGAAGGACATGAAAGAGGAGGATGAAGAGGAAGTGGAAAAGGATGAGGACAAGGATACAGAGGAGGAGGTGGAGGATGTGAAGGTGGATGTGGAGGAGGACATGAAGGAGAATTTGGAAGAGAAGGATGAAAAGGAGTTGGAGGAGGATGAAAAGGAGATGGAGGATGTAGATGTAGAGGAACTGAAGGATGTACATGGCTCTGGCAAATCACCTCAGCCTGATGGTGCCAGGGAGCCTGGCACTACCCCACTCACTGGCATGAGGTGCACGCTGAGTTCTCCATCACTGGTGCCCGGGCAGCCGGGTGGGATGGAGGTATCCCTACAGGCACTGGTATCCCAGCTGAGGGCTGAGCTGGGTCAGCAGGAGGTGGCAGTGCAGGCACTGGCAGCACGGCTGGCACGGGCAGAACTGCGGCACCAGCAGCAGGAGGAGGGCAGTGCCCAGCGGGCCCGGCTGTGGGCACACGAGGCTGAGGCACTGAGGGAGACCAACACCTTCCTGGAGCGGGCACTGGAGACAGTGGTGGCAGCAGGGTGCCCGGGGGCACTGGCGCAGGCACAGAAGGAGGCACGGGGCTGGCAGGAGGTGGCAGAGGAGCGGGGCACCCAGCTGGCTGAGGTGCTGGCAGAGGGGGCAGCACTCGCCTCCCGCCTGCGGGAGTGCCAGGCAGCACTGGTGGCAGCAAGACAGACAGACATCCTGGGGCATGCTGGTGCCCAAAATGAGGTGGCCGTCGTGGAGGAGGTGCTGCGGCAGGCACTGGAGCTTGCCTGTGGTCCCCAGGAGCCCTCACTGGACCCCCAGGCAGAGGGGGAGCCCAGCACAGCTGCCAGCATGGCCATGGTATGAGCAAGGTTGAGGGAATCCTATGGTGGGGTAGGGGTTTGGGGTCCAAGGTTGAGCTGCCACTCTCCCACAGCGCTTGGCCAGCCTGGCCACTGCAGCACAGGAGGAGACATGGCAGAGCCGGCAGCAGCTCCAGGCCCAGCGACAGGAGGTGGCACGGCTGCAGGAGGAGCTCAGCAGGTTGGGCAGGAGCCCCCACTTCCATCACCCACCACCCCACAATGGGATCCCCCATCTCCACCTGCCACATGGTTTCCCTTGGGACCCCCAATGATTTCTCATTGGACACAGGGGAGCAGCAACTGGGGATGGGCAGGGGGAGGGAGGGAAGGATTTGGGGAAGGATGACTGCAGGGAGGGGTCAAGTTGGAACTGACAGGTAGGTGGAGGGGTGGGTGGGCAGAGGGGTGGAGTGATTTGGGGTGAGTAGATGGAGGGAGGGCAGGAGGGATGAATTTGGGATGGATGGATGGAGACGGGATGGTGGATGGAAAGACAGAGGGATGAATTTTGGGTAAGTAGATGTATGGGTGGGTGGGCAGAAGGCTGGGGGAATGGGTGTGGGGAAGGATGGATGAACAGCGGGGAAATGGATGGGTGGCTGACTCAGCAGATGGCAAGGTGGCTGTGGGGAGGGGGACACAGCTTGGGGATGGATGGGCATCAGAGAAAAGGAGGGAGGGAGGGATGAATGGATGAATGCATGCATGCATGCATGCATGCATGGAGAGATGACCAGCTGAGAGACAGGAGGACCATCTCCCCGCTGCCCCGTGCCAGGGCCCGGCAGGACGGTGAGCGCTGGGCATCAGCGCTGCAGCGGGCACAGCGGGAGGCCCTGGAGCGAGAGGCCATGCGTGGCGCCGAGCAGGCGCGGCAGCAGGAGCTCATCCGCGACATGAAGGAGCGGCTGCTGGAGCTGCTGCGGTGAGAGCCCCGGAAACTCCATGCAAGGGCAAGGGGGTCCAAACCCCTTTGCCCAGAGGAGGGCACCAGAGCCCAGACAAATACAGGGCTGACCTGTCCCCTCCGGCAGGGAGAAGGATGCCCTGTGGCAGAAAACAGAGGGCATCGACACCCCCACTCCCGGCCCGGCCCCCCGTGACACAGGGCTGTGCTCCCGCTGCCACAAGGATTTCCGCCTCCTCTCCCGGCGGTACAGCTGCAGGTGGGCTATGGAGGTAACTGGGGGATGGCATTGACACAGCACTGGGATGGCACAGCTCTCACCACCTGCTCTCTCAGCAGGCTGTGCCAGGGCAAGGTGTGCCATTCGTGCTCCATGGACTTTGGCAAGAAAGGCCGCTGCTGCCTGGTTTGTTACCAGCAAAGGCACCCACAGGCGACATGAGCAGGGACCGCATCCCTGGCACTGTTCCTGGGACACCTCCTGCCCTGGCTGTCTCCTCTCAGACTTACTGGGGACCCAGGTGTCCAGGGCCTTCATGCAGGTCCTGCTGCCCAACATTTCAGGTTTGAGATCTGTCTTTCTCGTGGCTGGTCCACAAAAATGAAAACAACCCATTTCTGTTATCCCTGCGGCTCTCATGTTATCTGTCAATCGTTGCCAGATTGACACCCAGGCTGGGTGTGGGGTGGGGGAATGCTGGCATGGGGGTGTTCAAGTCCTCCAGGGGGTGTCCTGCCTGTAGCCAGGCTGAGCCTGCCTGCCCTGTCCCACAGCAGGGAGGGAAGACAGCTCTTGACCAACAGCTCTGGCTTCCTACCACGCTGCGAGGAACCACTTGGGCAAGCGGTTTCTCAGATGCAAAAGTGATGGGCTCAGCACCCCCACTGACCCTGCTCAGCCTCAAGTCCCTGGGGCTCCCTCCTGGGTGCCAGGAGACCCCCGTACCCACCCATGAGCCAGCACATGGGTGACACGCATTGATGCCCCCATGGTTAAGGACCCCCAGGAACCTGGATCAAGGGCAATGGAGGAGCAGTATGGGACCCCTGTGAAGAGATGCTTAGGAGTGCTGGGGTAGGCATCCCGATGCCTGGCACACAGGGTGGCAGGAGAGTCCCCAGCAGGGTCACAGCCCCCTCTTCGGCTCCTCTACCCCAGTCAAATGTCAGCCTCAGTTGCCCAAGCCCGGGCGGAAACGTCCCGTTTGTGTAAGGGACAGGTTCCCAGCCCTTTGCACAACAATATCCTGACACTGTGGTGTCGGGGGGAGAAGGGGGTGCCTGGGGTGCTGGCACCCTTCAGGCAGGGATCACAATGCTGGCTCAGTTTCAGTGAGGGGCTGCTTAGGGATCTTTCAGCAATTTGCTCTACTGGGGCTTGGACTGGGGTTGGGAAAGGAATGGCTTTGTCCCCAGGTGGGACAGACTCCACATGGAGACCTCTGTACAAGGGAAGTGCTAGGACCTGGCTAGGTGGCTGTAGGGAAAAAAACCTGGGCTTGGGCCCCTTCTGGGGTTTTACAGGATGCCAAACCCTCTGCAATAGTCTCTGGGGCAACAGCCCTTCCCTGTCCTGGAAGCAGGGTTACCTGCACTCCGAAAGGCTCAGCTGGCACCACCATTCTGGCACTGTCCATGGAGATGTGCCCTGGCCCTGTCCTGCTGTCTCTTTTCCTGTGGCAAGGAGAAGCCAGACCTGGGTGATCAACCCACTAACTCCTTTATTGCTGCATGGTCGACGGCCACAAACACCATCCCCACAGCAGGCTCTCAGAATCCCCAGAGTCACAGGTTTTGTCTCAAAGAGAGGGGAGGGTGGGCAGCACTTGGCATCACTCCTCTGGCAATGGAATCCTATCACCTTGCCACCCAAGCCCCCTTCCAGCTGGGGTCCAGCATCCAGTGGTGGCCCTGCCCATCCCCATAGCATCACCACCCACGTTCCAGGGGGCTGGATGAGGATGCTGAGGTGTGTAGGGTGCTGGGATCTGCTGGGAGTCACGAGGACTGGGTACCAGAAGGGCTCAGAGGGTGGTGGATGTGTTGCCAGAGGTGGAGGCATAGGAGGCACGGCCGTAGCGGGCAACAGCATCCTTGCTGATCAGCCCACGCTGCGCCAGGATCTTGAGGAAGCTGTTGCGAAACTTCTGACCGATGAAGGCATAGATGATGGGGTTGATGCAGCTGTGGGCAAAGCCCAGGACCTGTGTGACAGAGAGGGCCGTGTTGATGCGGTTCCTCCTCTCACAGGTCTCGGCGATGGCCCGTGTCCTCATGAGGGTGTCGCTCACCAGTGTGATATTGTAGGGCAGCCAGCAGACCAGGAAGACGAGCACCACGGCAAAGATGACCTTCATGGCCCGCTGCTTCTGAGCATTCTTGGTCTGCAGGAGGGTGTGGATGGTGACACCATAGCAGAAGAGCATCACCAGGAGGGGCAAGGCAAAGCCGAAGGTCTGCGGCAGCACCCGCAGCACCACCCGCCACTTGGCCGTATCCCCTTCACCAATACGCTCATAGCACACGGTGCCATTGTTGGGTGAGGTGAAAGCCTCACGGAAGAGCAGCATGGGCAGGGAGAGCAGCACAGAGAAGACCCAGATGCCCAAGCAGACAAACTTCACCCAGTGCCTCTTCTCAGTGGCAGCCCGGGTGGCATAGACAATGGCCAGGTAGCGGTCGACGCTGATGCAGGCCAGCAGCAGGATGCTGCTGTAGAAGTTGGCTTCCTGCAGCACGGAGATGGCTTTGCACATCACAGTGCCAAAGACCCACTCGTGGGCTCGGTAGGCAGCCCAGAAGGGCAGGGTGAAAGCAAAGAGCAAATCTGCCACGGCCAGGTTGAGCAGGTAGACGTCAGTGACAGAGCGGCTGGTGTGGCCGGAGGTCACCACCAGCACCACTAGCCCATTCCCCACTACACTGAGGATGAAGACAAGGCAGTAGATCACCACCACCAGGTACTTGTTGAGGACGGAGCTATCAGGCCGGCATGGGGCAGAGGAGATAGCGATGTCAGGCAGGGCCGTGCTGTAGTCATAGGTGTAGTTGTAGAGAGAGAGTAAGCTGGACAAATCCCCACTGAAGGACAAGGACTCCATTTTGTCTGTGGAGCACAAAATGGCATGAGTGTGGGGTGGCAGAGTGGTGTGGGCCAGGTGTGACAGCATCTCTGGGCCCCCTGGCATCTCCACTGCCGCCCAGGCGCCCTCCCAGGCACTCCACTGTATCCACACTGTCCTAGGTAATGGGCAGTGTTGCAGGCAGACACTGTCTCTCATACGTCCCCTTGTAAAACACCCCCTGCACCCCTTGGTTTCCTCCACTTTACCCCAATCCTGTCCCTTCCCTGACCCATGGAAGAAGGGGTTCCCTCACAGACTGACCACCTCTTCTCTGGTTGGGGGCCTCCCCCATCAATGTAGCATCACATATCTCTAGGAGATACCTGGCTTCTCTGGCAACTGTGGGGTCCCCTGGTTTGTGTGGGTCCTTCAAAAGCCTTCTGAGCTCTTTGAGCATCTCAGAGCCCAGTGGGGACCTCTGAAGTTCTTCAAGTACCCCTGGATCCCACCAGCCTCTCCACCCCCTCAAGTATCACTGCTGCAGCTGCCTCTCATGCCACCTCAGCCAGGCTGTGGTCATGGTGCCTGGGGCAGGCAGCACTGAAGAACATCTGAAGGTGTTTCATGCCCTTCTTCCCCCTCCCAGTCCTGTTCCTCCGTGAGTGGTTTCAAGCCTCAGACGGAAAGACATCACACACTTTGCAGGAGGCTTTGGAAATATTTCACATCTTTGGTCTTCCTGTTGCTCAGCTGGGCTCTGTCAGGCATCCTCATGTTCCCCATGCTCAGCCTCAATGGGGAAATCACAGGTGACAGTCACTTTTCCTGTTTCCTCACGTGTAGGAGACAACAAGCTTGCTCTGTTCCTACCTTCCCAGAGACCACTGGTTTTCAGCCTTCTCCCAGTATGGATATGGACTCCGGTTTCACTCCATTTTCACCCCTCTGCCCCATTTCTGAGCCCTCAAGCCCCTCCAGGGGGAAGAGGCCAGGACTGTCTGGAGGTGCTGAGTCCCTGCAGTGCTGGGGGGTTTCTGGCCCCAGACTGGCTCTGTTTGAACCCAAACCCTCCCTGGGACCAACTTTCCCCTTTTGCCTGACAGGAATTCCCTGCTGCAGCTGGGCTGGTGCCCACTGCCCAGAAAAATCCCTCCCTGGCTCTGCTGTCCCCTCTCCTGCAGTTTTCCCAGGATGGTAACCCTGAGGTGGTGATCCCAGGATGGTGATGCTGGGATGCTGATGTCCCAGCATGCCAGAGGACCACAGCCAGGAATGCTGCCAGTGTCGATGGGGAAGGTCCTCTTGACTGAGGCTTCCACAGTCATGGTGCAGAGCCAGACACCAGTGCTTCCCCTCTGTCTGTTTCTGGCTGCTTCTTTCTTCCTCCGCACTCCAAAATCCTACTGGTTCCTCCAGAACTGGGTATTCCCCCACTCATGGGTATCCCACAGCTGGCCCAACTGGGGGAGCAAGCAGCACACAATTTCCCCTCCTGACCCTGGAAGGGCTGGGGGACACTGGGGTGGCCCTGAGGGTCCCAGCAGGGAGGAAGGAGGGACAAACCATGGGGATGCACCCTCCCGGCTCATCGCTGTGTGAGGAAATGGGAGCAAGCACTTTCCCCCCACGGCACCCAAGGCTGATGTCTCTGGGGATTATGGAGGGTTTGCACCCGAGACAAGCCCTCAGCACAGTCCTGAGTGCCCCCACCTCCTACCTCCCTCTCCCCTCACACGAGGCAGCTCCTTGGGCAGCTGGAGCAGCCCACCCTGGCCCCCAGCCTGCTCCACATGTGGAGGGGCTCAGACAGATGCTGGGGGGCTCTCAAAGCCCAAGGAAAGCCCCAACCTCCAGTGGAGAATCCCAGGGACTCACCACTCGCTGCTGTCACTGTCCCCTCAAATCTGGGGTCTTCTCTCAGTCCCAAGCTTTTTCTCACTGGGAAGCACACAGGCACTGGTTCAAATCCAGATGTCACCTCCAAAGGGCTCCGGAACAAAGTGTGCTGGGATGCAGCGCAGCACCCGACCAGGGGGTCCCTCACCTGCAACCGTGCTGTGCCACTACCCAGTGCCCCTTCCTTCCGCTGCCCTCTTTATGCTGCCTGGGGAGGAAGCGAGATTGCAAAACCTTCTCCCAGCATAAAGGGGAAGTGGTAGCCCAAGGGACCCTTCCCCAGTCCCCCCCAGGATGCTTTTCCTGGGCTAAGGGAAGCCCGCAGACCCCGTCACTCTCCTGTCCCAGGGTGTCCCAGGCCACCCCGTACTGGCAGTACACCCAGGGGTGCATTGTCACCCCTGCAGTAATGCCTCCTGGGGTTCTCCAGCTGGGGGTCCTCACCTTGTCCCCAGGCCCTCAGTGGGTGCGAGGCTCCGCTCCAAGACACCCCTGGGTGCTGCAGTCCCCCCAGGAGACTGGAAGCTCTCCGAGGCCATGGCCAGTGGGTGATGGCAGTGCCAAGCTCTGTGACTCAAGTTTCCCCATGGATAGAGCAAGGGTGGTACCAGCATTTTGGAGGGTGCACAGGTGAACTGCAGGGCTGGTTTGCCCCCTGTTGGGGGTTGCTGTGGGGGACCCCTCCCAAGTAGAGTCCCATTTCCATCTCACCCTAGCTGTGCCATGCCGAGCTGACTGACCCAAGTCGAACCATGCCATCAGACAGAGCTGTGCCCCCGTGCCAGCCCCACAGACTTAGAGAACCCCCTGGCTCACTCCTCTGAGTACCCCTGTTGCCTTTAGGGGAAACCTGCATCCAAGAGCATCCCCCAGGCACCCACATTCCTCTGGGATACCCACGAACCCTTGGAGCACCCCCATCCTCACAGCTTTCTGTGAGTACTCCCCACTTTTGGGGTGCCTTTCTTCCCTGGGGACACCGATACAGTTGTAGAGCACTATCATATCCCTTGGGTGTCACTACACACCCAAGGACACCCATCCTGGGGACACCCACCCTATTTTGGACAACCCCCAGCTCCAGAGCACCCTCACAGCCCCCTGGGGTGTTGCCTGTGGTCACCTCTCATGTTTCCGTGCAGACCTGAAATCATGGATTTCAGAAAGACACCTCTTTCCCCCGTGAGCAACCCCATATCCCTGGGGCACCCTATTCTTATGCAGACCCCCCATACTCTGGGGCATACCCACTACTCCCTGGAGTGTCCCTATAACCCTAGGGGAGCCCCACACTTTCGGGGACCTCCATACACGAGCAGCATCCCACAAGCGGGCGGGACATTTTTGGGGACCCCCCTACCATGCCCCAGGCGCACCCCAAATCCCAGCTGGGGGTGATCCCCATACCACGAGGGCCCCCCGTGTCCCGTCACGCTTGGGGTCCCCCCGGTGCCCCCCTTTCCCTCCCGCCCGGTGGGCACGGTCGGTGTGACGTCATGCGACGGGCGGGGCCTGCGCGCGCGGCGGCGCCGGGCCGGACGTGACGCGCGCGCGAGAGCGGAAGCGGCGGCGCAGGGTCGGGCGGGTCCCCGGTGCGCGCAGCGGGCTCGGCTCCCCCAGAGCCCCCCCGGCACCGACATGATCCTGCTCGAGGTCAACAACCGCATCATCGAGGAGACCCTCACGCTCAAGTTCGAGGGCGCGGCCGCCGGGTAGGAGCAGGGAGGGCCGGGGCGGGGCGGGGACGGGGCCGCGGGCTGAGGGAGGGGCGGGGGCGCGGCGACGGCTGAGCGGGGCTGGAGCTGTGTGCCCGCCGCCCGGGCACGGGGCAGAGGCCGGCGGGGCGTGCCGGGGGAGGGTGGGGATGGTGACAAGGCAGGATGGGGGACTAGAGCGTGACGGGGGGTGGCACCGGGCCGGCGGGCACTGAGCTACCCGGGAAGCGGGGAGGGCAGAGCGGGCACGGGGTGGGGGCCTGCAGGGTGCGGGGGCTGGGAGGAGGGTGGTCGGGGTGGGGAAGCTGAGCTGGGGGCGGCGGGGATGGGCAGAGGGAGGGCCTGGGGAATGAAGAAGCAGAGCCGGACAGACAGTGGAGAGGGGAGAGTGGGGCTGGGTGGGGTGGTTGATGGGGCAGTAGGGAGCTCCGGAGGAGCAGGAGGGATCTGGGAAGGGTGTTTGACATCGCAGTGTTGAGATGAGCTGAGGAGGCAGAGCTGGAGGACAGGGCCTGAACAAGGAGGAAGTTGGGAAGGGAGGAAGGTGGGTTTGCAGGGGTGTTTGCTTTGGGTAGTGCAGACTTCATCGGCGTGATGCCAGCGCTGGTACCGAATGTGTGGGGGGAGCCGAGGAACAGGAAGCCTGTGGTGCCGAGTCGCGGCCTCGGCCTTCCACCTTGGGAATGGGGAGCACATTCCAGCTTTCTCCCTCTTTGCTTTCTCGAGGAGGAGGGATGCAGGCCCCCGGGTCAGCCACGGCCCCTGGTGCCAGCCTGGTGGGTGTCCTGGCCTTGGGTGTGGGTTGGGGGGTCTGGTTTGCACCTGCGTCTCTGCTGGGACAGTTTAGTCCCTGGGAAGCTGGTGATTTTTTACTGCGAGTGTTGCACCAGAGCTGTAAAGATCCTTGTGAAGGCACAGCTTAGCTTGGAAGGAAGTCCCTGCATATGAACGTATGAATCTGCCACCGAGCTGCCTGTGGGCTCGCTGCTCTGTGTGCTGGCCGAGACACCTTTGTACAGAGACTAAGTCTTGAGAGTCAAAGCGCCGTGGTGTTATCTCTGGGGTGGAGCCTGCCCTGGCGCCTCACAGAGCACGACTCAGGCTGCTCCGGGAAAGGGCCCCCCCCCAGGCAGGTGCCTTTTTCTGTGTCACCTTTTTCTCCAACGATTTTTTGAAGCTCTCAACCTTTTGTATGCCGAACATTGACAGAGGCCACTTCCTCTGCTTTCCCCACACTCTCAGTTGACTTCTTGCTCAGGTTGGTGTTTTGGTGGTTTTTTCATAAAATAGTCTCACGGGCTGCTGATAGCCGAGCTGCTCCCAGATGTTGATTCTTCTTGAGACTGATCATTTAATGCAACAGGTTTCCCTGGAGCACAGGCACCAAACTGGGAAGAGAGAGCTCCCAGGTGCCCAGTGTAGCATTGCAGCTGCGTCCATTAGAAAGTACACCATGTACCGAGGTTAATAGTGTGCGTCAGGACAGCTTGTCCATCACAAGTCTGTTCCGAGGCACTCTTCCTGCTGGAGAGAGAAGAATGTGTGTGTGTCCCTGTGTTGGTGTGAATGTGGAGGGGGCAGTTTGCAGGTTTAAATGCACCCCAAACCCCTGACTCCATGTGAGCAGAGCTGGCATTGCTCGCCCTGCACCAGCCTGCAGACTCCCAAATTTTCCATTTTGCTGTGCAGCAGAGCCACCTCACTTGCGCGTTGGCACGCTTTCCTGACGTACCAATTGTTCCTGGATCGATCCGTAGCGCAGCTGATGGTGCTCTGCTTCTGCCTCTTAGTCATCTATGGCATGTTGTGTTCTTTAGATGTCATTTCTAGATAAGTTTTGTGTCGTGAGTGTGTAGCTGGAGGTGAGGAAGTTATTTACTTCTGCATTTTCTTATGTGCTTGTGCTGGGGATCCTTCTGTCCAGGCAAGTCCAGCACAGTGAGGTGCATTTTTTTTCTCTCTTTTCTAAGGAATGGGTGTTATGCAATATTTATTCATGTGAAATTTCTTTTCCCTACGGCCACGGCTCTGGGCTCGTTCCTGTGGTGCTCATCCTGGAGGCAGGAAGGGATTTCACGTACTTCACTGTTTTGGTGATGGTTGTTCCAAGGTGTGTCTTGGGGAAGAAGACAGGACAGTCAGGGCAAGGTCGAGCCTTGAAGGATTCAGTGACTGGGAGGAGCGAGTCAGGACACTGGGGCAGAGTTGGGTTTGCATTATTTGCTCTAACCCAGGAGTGCAGCAGATGCAATGCAGGGATTGGTCCACAGTGGTTGTCCTGGAGCCAGGTGTGCCTGGTGGCTTCAGCAACAGCCTGGGAGTGGGGCAGGGTGGGGTTTCTTTCCAAATCCTTTGCCAGAGACTTGCCCTGTGACATGGGCCATGTCATTCCCCTCTGCTTCCCCTGGCTGCAGTGTGGCCGTGGTATGGCAGGTCCCTACAGAGCTTTCCTGGACTGTCAGGTGGGAGACACTCCACATTTCACCATGTCATATAGAACTAGGTCACATCTAGAACTTGGAGCTAATTACTGCCGTAACACTATTGTTGTATATTATATGTTCCAATCTGCTCTGTGTGGAGGTTCATCAGCTGTCCCTGGAGTTCCCAGCATGGAAGGTGCCTTGGCAGGACTTCGAATAGAGAGCAGAACTTGAGGCAGGGCCTAACCCACCTCTGAGAGTCCTCCCTTGACAAGGTCCTTGGTGCTTGTCAGCATCCACCTGTAAATGGGATAGTATCTCACCTCCTTGGACAGCCACCATTGAAAGGTGATATTTAGATCAAGGTGGTAACAGATTATGGACTTAAATGCATCTGTTGTTTTTTTTCTTTATTTAGTACTGTAATTTCTTGGTTTAAATCCACTCTCTTAAACCAACCACATTTTAAAACAAAGGTCTAAACCTACCAGAATCTGTTGAAATAACTTGAGTTAGGAATTTGCTGCTGAAGCTTTCAAGCATTGAACTGATGCAGTGTGGGAATACCTGGTCAGTACATGGAAATAAGTGTGTTGAAATGAGGGTGGCTCAAAAGCTTTTGTAGGTGTCAAGAGAATAAACTGTTCCATAAGCTTTTCACTAATTTGTTTGTACTTGGGAAGTTGCCTAGAAGCTGGAGTCACAGGTGAGTTTTCCCATTTCTGATAGAAATGTGATGTGAGGGCATGAGCTCTACCAGTTGGAAATTTTTGTTTCTCATCGTTGCTTCCCTTTGCTAACCACACAGACAGGAAAAACCCCCACAAACACTGTAAGTGTAAAACATTTTGATTATTGTCTTCTGTGTCTGGTGAATACTTGTTCTGTTTAGCACCCAGGGAGGAACACCTTCCCAAAACAGATTTGCTATCCAGTTTTGTCCTGCTCTAATTTAACTGATCCCAGTGAAAGTGTGGCAAAGGGCTTTGTTCTCAGGGTTTGATTTTTCCAATCATACGTAACTTGCCCTAAATCTTTGGTAAATTAATCATCAATCTCAAACTGTTACTTATTTTTTACCCACTGTGCAAAAGAAAACAAATTTGCATAGTTGAAGAACAGTGTGCCTTTTCCTGGGTTGGGGGTGGAGGGAAGAGAATCTCAAATCAAATTGTTGGTTTCTTTACAGCTATTAGTAGGTACAAATCTGCAAAGCTTCATGACTATTAGCTGCATAGGAAATCAGCTGAAGCCTGAACTTCCCTGGTGCGGAGCAGTTCCTGTGAGCTGGGCTGAAGCTGCACCCGCCTGCTTGATGGTATTTCCCGCCTGCGGTCACTTGGTGCTCGTGGGCTGCGGAGCTGAGCCTTTCAGACAGAGAAGCTGAGCCCTGGGTGAAACCAGGCAGTGTGAACTTGGTGTTTGTGATGTGACATGCAAAGTGAGTTCATGATGGGGAGGCCAAGGAGCATCTGGAGGCTGTCGGTTGTGCTGGGAGGGTAGAGGAGCTTTGAGTTCTGCGGGGCACCACTAAGAAACTCCCTGCAAGAGTGGCTGTGGCCATACGTGGCTCTGGTGCTTCAGGAATCCTCAGCAGCCCCATCAAAACCCCTTCCTTCTTGCTGACAGAGGCATTTTTGTGGCTTCAAGGGAAACAGGATTGGGGAAGTGACCTAGGTTAAAATTAAACAGGCAAAACTGGGTATTTTTAGCCTAAATGAGTTTCCTCATCCCATTCGTTGTCTGACGACTGCTTGCCATGGTGCAGCCACGGAGCAGGGATCAGGTCTCCCTCCTTCAGCAGCAGTGGCAGGTGCTGGCTCATTGTCCTCCCAAGCCCAGCCTGGAGCTGCACATCTCCCCCCACAACCTCACCTGCTGAAACTCAACCTGCCTGACTCTGATGTGTGTTCAGGCGATGGTGCTGGCAGAAAGCAGTACCCTTGGGTTCAGCTGGCATGGGCAGCACTTGTACACCCTGGCTGTCCACGTTCACTGAGGGTGCTGTAGGTGTTTGAGCATAGCTTCTGAGACACAACACATCCTGCTTCAGCCACCAGGGAAGGTGACTGCATTAATGGTGGATTGTGAACCACCTCTGGCTGGAACTAGGCAGTGCTCTGCTTTCGAGCAACAGCACAGAAGGGAAGAGAAGCGAGATCTGCAAAGTGTTATGCTTTCACAGGTGGTTCTGTCATAGCTCCAGCTTCAGTTTTCATCTTGGGTTCCCAAGAGGGGCCTGCATTGTTTTATCCTCAGAGAGTGGTTCTTGCTGCAGCCACCAGTGCTTGACACCAGAGAAGAGTAGATATCCATCACTATGCTAAAGAAACACAGTG